ATTGGGTATTGGTCTTTAAAGGCTTTGGATTGCTTGCAAAAGAAAACAGGAAAAACCGGTTAGTTACACAGTAAAAGAGTTAGACTAACCGAGCCATAGTTTGAGCGGCTTCATGAAGAACCGAAGCCTTGGGATATAAACCAGCCCGGCACCCATCGGTTGATTTTCCGTATTGCCGCGGACAGCTCCAGGCACAACAAATCGCGTCGTGCATAATCTTTAAATCGGGGTGCCCGTGGTTATACATTATTTTTTTTAATCTCCTTTGCCCGTCCTTCATTATTCAAAGTAGGTATAAGCTAGGAGAGCGCGGTCTACGCGGGTGTTGCCCATTGTGTATTTGGCCTCAATATCTCCGGCTAGACCTAAAGTTGATGCCTAGCGATTGTTTTCATTCGTGGAAACGCCAGTTGATTATTCTTATAAGTATTGGTGAGACACCTGTGTGGAAAGTGCCAACCCCGGTGCGCGCGGAGGAACTCGGTTATAAGAGGGTTGTAAGACGCCCGAGTAGAAACAGGACAGGCCCCCTCGAAATGGACCAGCACGGTGAAGGGGCACTCTCTCTACCCCAAGGTGTGGTCTCCTCTGTATCTGCGAGAATCCAGATGGACATGCTGGGTTGTGTGCTACGAGCCGTAAACTCCTCCCTGAACGCAGCCACGCCAGCCGGAGTATCCACTAGGAAGGCGGAACATTTCCCCAAATTCTGAGCACGCTTGTATATAGCCCGGGTTGGGGGTTGCACTGGTGGTTAATTGTTTGCTGCTGTGTGGTGTATGCGGACACTCTCTGAGAGACTCAGGAACGACATGGTCCCCCTTGGACTCTGCAGGAAAGGATGCGCCAAGTTTAAGTGTGAGCGCGGTCGCGCCAAAAGGAGCTTGGATTTTAGCTCGGGTCATTAAGAGTGCCAAAACCACCCCGGTTGTCTATCTATCTAAGGAGGCAGCCGTACCGGTCGCCCTAACGCAGACACAGATGTTTAGCACCGGTTGACGCGACGACCTACGTCCTTTTGTTATCTCGGTTTTTGCTAGGGTTTGAGTATCACTAATGTTATTTGCTCGTCTCGTTGTTTTTTTAGATCAAAGGAAGACCAGGAGCCCGGTTCGCCCCAGTTCTTCAATGTTCTTCCAGGAAGACGAAGAACACCAATAACAGTGGGGGTTGGGACGGATTCTATGGCCTTTGCCTAAATGCCTAAAAGACGTTTGTTGACTCCTAATGGTGGTTAGGAAAATAAACATAAAATGAAAGAAAATAGCAACTTAATCAGGGGGATTGAGTATCTTAACCTGTGAAGGTGCTGAAGGTGGTTCTTCACCCTAACACTGACAGAATGGCAGAATGGCAGAAGAGGACAAGTCTCAAGACTGCTGACGCTCTGAGTCGAATATCGAAGTGGCAGTAGGAGTTGGAGTTTGGGGGAGGGTCTTGTATGGTAATAGGCCAGGAGGGAGTTCAGCCCAAATTGCAAAAATCTGGCAAACGGCGGGGTTGGGCCGATTGAACCATATGGTCAAGACCCCCACGTGTCCTGTCACCATTTATGGCTTTGGCAGGACTGAAGCGACGGGTTGAAAAGACGAAGAGCCAACCGAGCTACTTTCAACGGGAATAGGTCAGCCGAGGAATATAACCGGGCAAGTTTGCGGACAAGTGTGTTAACCAGCTCGGTCAAGGTTTGGCGTCTTGAAGACCGGAGAAGTGTTATCTCGGTCGAAGTGAGTAATCCCAGTCACGCTTTCGCGGACGGAATTAAGGGGCAATTGAGAGGGTAATTTATGATCTGGGGTTGGGCCGAGATATTGACCGATCAGGTTGAGAGCCCAGCAGTGCATTGGGCCGAGATGATCGACTGTTCACCCGGAGATGGGCTACCGGAACTTGGGCCGGGCAGAGTTTGGACTATGTGCTGCCCCGAACCGTGCAGAAGGTGCTCGGCCAGGAAGTGACCGGTCAGACCAGGATGCTCGGTCTGAGGATTGTCGAGATCAGACAGACCGAGAGGCCGGCGCTCGGAAAGGCGCGGTCAGCCGAGGTAGTTGACTGACCGGCGAGAAGACCGACCAAAGGAGGATCCCGGGCTAAGCTTTGTCGAGATGCCGCCTAGCCCGGTCCTTCATTCGGTTATCCGGTCGGGCGCTTCAGGTATGAAGCATGGTATGACCGAGGTAGGGCAGCTCGGCTGCCGAGCTCCAGCTATGCTGACAGGCAGTTGAGAGCAGGTGATGAACGGCATGGTTTATGCTGACAGATGGGATAGTAGAGCCACGTGTCAGGAGATGACTGGGAGTGGATATGGGGCTCAGAAGGTATATAAGCATGTCTGCGCCCCCCATACGCGATACACGAACACATCTGTAAGGATTTCTTACACTCAAACACTCTCTCCCTTCTCTCTATTCCCTCTAAGGTGTGTGCTAACTTGACCGTCGGAGGGTTTTTCCGGCCACACACCGCCGGGTAGCTCACCATTACTTGCTCGCAGGTGATCGGACATCGACGGAGCTCGGAAGAAAGGAATACGGGCTTGCCGGAATATTTGCTCCCCGTACATATATGAAAAACTTAAAAATTGGAGTGCTCATCCTGTAATTGTCATGAATGATTCGGAAAGAATGCAGAAAATTAATCATATCCTACAAATTTGCAAAAAGTCTTGGATCAATGACAAAAAGTCTTGGATCAAAAAGAATGCATAAAATTAATCATATCCTACAAATTTGCAAAAAGTCTTGGATCAATGACAAAAAGTCTTGGATCAAAAAGAATGCATAAAATTAATCATATCCTACAAATTTGCAAAAAGTCTCGGATCAATGACAAAAAGTCTTGGATCAAAAAGAATGCATAAAATTAATCATATCCTACAAATTTACAAATTTGAAAATGACAATCTGACAATCATTGAAATACACGACATAAATTTGGAATTCATTTGCACGATGAAAGTATCATGTTCAATTTCAGAGACATGTAAAAAAATTACAACTTTTCTAATATATATATACTTTTTTTTTAATCAGTCTTGGATCAATGACAATATTGATGTTCCAAAAAACATATTGCAAACTTTACTCAAAAACATAAAAAGTAAAAAATTATTGCAAGTGTTATTTAATATCACAAACAAAAGCTTGGGTACTTCACTTGATAGTCAACATTAACCCATGTTGGGTAGAGAAATTTAACAAAAAGAGTTTAACTGCATCAAAAATCCAATAGCCAAACAAATGATTGAGGTATGGACAGATCTATTTATTTATTACATTTATCAGAATTCAGAAAAATTCAAGTACAAGCTAGGCAGGAATCAGAGAGTTCGATAGAGAGTTCAATCATCAGAGTAATCAACGGTAAAGGCTCTCTGATCTGAGATTCTCTGCAATTTCAGTTTCCCATCGGTCTCCATTCTCAAGCAACTTCTCTTTATCATATAGAAGCTCCTACAACAAGAAGGTGTACATGAGTAGCTTAAAATTTCAAGACAAGGCCTGTTTGGTACAATTTTTCTCCCTAGTTGAAGAAAACAAAAGTTTAAAACACTTTTGTCTCATTCTCATAAGCTATAAGTATAGGCTGCATCAAATGTATGGACTCCAAACACAGCTCTAACAAGATGCACCCAAAAAATACATATATATATATATATAGACGCTGGCAATCAAATAAGAAGTGTTCACAAACCTCGTGAGTCTCTGTTGCAAATTCAAAATTGGGTCCTTCAACAATGGCATCAACAGGGCATGCCTCTTGGCAGAATCCACAGTAGATGCACTTTGTCATGTCGATATCATACCTATGAAAAACAACTTAATAAGAGAGAGAGAGAGAGAGTAGAACTACTGAGCAAGATCATTTACCTGGTCGTTCTACGGCTTCCATCTTCACGCTCCTCAGCCTCAATTGTGATAGCTTGAGCTGGGCAAATCTGTCGCAAAACCAACATTTCATAAGAAAATGCTAACTAGCAACGCCACATAAAGGCCTTGTTTGGCATATACTAAAAAAATCAAAAAGTCAAAAAGTCACTATCCTATTTAAGTCACATCATCTTATTTAAGTAACATCACCTCTCTACCACATCATTTCAAACTCAACCCATACCCAACTCATATTTCATAAAAAGTCAAAAAGTGCACTTATTTAGAACATCCCAAACCACCCCTAAACAAGAAAAGATGTGGGAATAACATAGGTTTGCATGTGCGTAAAGGGCTCCGGCTGTTTTACCTTGAGCCAAAACAATTTAAAACCAACAAATATAATAAATTTTTTAATTTTTATTAAAAGCCGAACACCTAAAATAAATTTCAATTTAGCAAGCTCCAATTAGAAAGTGGGATAGTGTAGAATCCAAGCTTCTGGTTATCATATTATTTCATGCAAAATGTGGATAATTAAATTGAACTCTTACAGCTTCGCAGAGTTTACAGGCAATGCACCGCTCCTCTCCAGTGGGATAACGTCGGAGTGCATGTTCACCGCGAAAACGAGGGCTCAAAGGGCCTTTCTCAAATGGATAATTGATCTGTGCAACAAAAGAAAATTCTAGATTCTTAGCCCACAGCAACTTATACAGGTCATCAATAATTGAAAAAAGGATGTTGTGCTTATAGAATTAGAGCAATGCTACATGCGTTAAAATTCTTACTAACAATCTTACTAAAACACGTATCTAACTATCATTGAATGTTCATTGATTGTCGTTAGGGGTGTGCGCGGTGCGGTTTGGACGGTTTAAGAATAAAATTACAAACCGAATGGCCAATTGATAAATTATGGTTTGAGCGGTTTTGAGGGAATTGGCGGATTGATAATATTTTAACCAATCATCAAACATTTGCATAATATATAACACTAATTTACATAATATTTTTCATATATACAGCACAAACTAATTTTACATATATATTTCATATATGTAACTACTAATTTGTAATAAATTTTTCATCTTAAATCTTTCTCACACATTTTTACTTTGATATTTCATTAGAAATAAAAATATATATATGCATTAAATATAGCGGAACGGAGCGGTTTCGAAAGCGAATTATAAATTTTAAAATTTAATCCGTAGTTAGCGTATAAAGCAGTGCGGATTAATGCAGATCAGTGCGGTTTTAACGGATTGGGCGGTATTTTGCACAACCCTAATTGTCATCATTGCTTTTTTGACAACCAATCATATTTAGCCATTGTACTTTTAGTAAGAATGATATTGTCTATAGAATTATTCATAGAATTTTTAAATAGAATTCATGACAAGAACAATGTGGCAGTGGCAGTGGCATTTGTGCACATGCAAGTCATCTTCATGGGTCTTTTTCTTTAAAGTGATATAATCCAAACTTGCCACATCATTCTATATTAATTTTCTATAAAGGCGGCTTCTTTTTTTTTGTATATAATTACTATTAGAAAAAACTTACAGTAACTTTCGGGTCGAAGAAATACTTGAGCGTGAGCATCAGACCACGAACCATTTCAGTGAGAAACAAAGTATTTATGCTTCGTTCAAACACTGGAATTAGTAGGAGATCATTAGGAATTTTAAACCGCATATTGAAGTAAACGTACTAGATTCAAATTGCTAAGTGAAGTGGTCGAATCACTCATAAAAGAGAATTACCAGAACTCCAATCCTTAGAAATCTCCTTAGCGAGTTTCTCCCTTTCTTCATCATCTGGAGTTTGTGGACAAAGGGAAAAGAAACAAAAAAAAACCATTTGATCATCCATAATATCATCAAACAAATAAAGGCATTCCAATCAGGACTCTGCAAGCATGCAACAATCCATTTAAGGAATTACATGCCAGAGAACTATGTGACAGAGCAATAAAGCCACATAAAAACCGAAGTACCTGAGAAGACCTAGATACGTAGCCCCACCCCGACGAGGAAGTGGAATAGATATGGGTTTCCTTCCCCAAACCTGTCCTACAACATCCTCATCCTGATTATATTTATTAAATCTCTTTCTTTGAATACAATACACATATTAATTTTCTTAAATAAAGTAATACTAAAACATCAAAATATTACACACAAAACTAAATTTTACTTCTTTATCTCTCATCTTACATTTTTTAACTCTTATCAGTCATTATCCATAATTGATCATATCATCTCTTACTTTTGTTATTCCTAAGGCTACAAAATTAACTCATCCACGCCCTAACCCCCCACCTCCTCGAACCCCCAATATGATTGAAGGCGGGGGTGAGCCACTACAAATCCATCACCACACTGCCCCATTGGCATCCACCTAGGTGCAACTTCTGTTTGGGGGTTAATCTCAGGATAACTTTAAAACATGGACATATTTTGAAGTCATTACAAAAATGGCATATGGATCAGAAGGAAACATTTGAAACAGGTTATCTTTGGTTAGATAGATAAGCACAATTTTTTTTTTATTTTTTTATTTTTTAAACTGGGTACAATAGCCAATACACTGACCTACCTACATGTCAAGACAGAAACACAGAACCAAAGAAAAAGCAACCTGCGTATTGAACATAAAACTGCATACCAAACATGTTTTTGTTTTTGTTTTTATCAATAATCAACTGTAAACGTTACCAAACAACACCCAATAGATGTTATAATGAAAGTGGAGTGAACATCAATGAACTGATTAGAAAAGCTGAAATACAGCAAGCCTTCATTTTCCAAACACCTAGCATAATATGATATAGAAAGGACCTAAGTAACCATCAGCACATGACTTGATACCATAGTATTTTTCTGATGCTCATCAAAGTTGTCAAAAAATGATATCACATCACAAATCAAACTCTATGCTGTTTGAACAAATACTAAAAGGAAATACAGAATAATAAGCAAAATTCCCTAAATAAATTGCAAATATGATACACCAGGAGTCATATTCATTTACAACTCACAAGACAAATTAACTTCCAAATATTCATTTGCTTAAATCTAACATTAAATTATATTGGCAAAATATTTTGGGGAAAAAATTTACAGGACTGCGATATGACATGCTATGATGTATGGTGCAAGATGTTGTGAAGTTAAGAAACACCATAAGCAGAAAATAAGAAAATTAGTATAGCTGAAAAGATAATGTTGAAATGGATGAGTGGGAACAAAAAAAGGAAATGAATCCTTTTAAGAGAACTCATAAGTAGCACCAATTGAAGTAAAAAAATGAGGAAAGTCATTTAAGATTGTATGACCATGTGCATCATAAAACAATTAACACACTTGTAACGAAAAGTGGTTTGATCCACGTAGAGGGCAAGAAAATAATTTTTTTTTAAATGTCAATGAGAACATGGATTGAGGTAAGCAAGGGCAAGCTTAATATAAACTTAACTAATAATACAACTTCAAATAGAACCAATTGAAGAGGATAAATCCATATAGCCAGGCCCAAGAATTTGGAACAAGGGAAGGTCAAAATGCTATTGTAACCACATTTGGGTACCATCTTACATGTTGACACGGTGGGGTACAGCCAAGGTTTTAAAAAGCGGCCGTAACCGTTACGTAACGTGATGATTACCATCACCTGTTACGGCCGTTATATCAGTGTGATAGAAATTTACATGTGCAACGGTCGCTTCGGTGTTGCGTAACGGCCGTAGCGGTCCCATAATAGTTGTAACGGTTCGTTACACACCATTACACCCTTTAACAATATTCTAAATAATTTCCTTTTCCCAAAAAAAAAAAAAAAAGTTTACAAAAAAGTAACAAATACTCAAGTAATCTAAACCCAAAGAAAAAAATCTTATATGAATTTTTTTGTTTATAATTTTTTTTAAAATTTTTATTTCATTACACTAGCATGTAAAATAAAAAATATATAAACAGTGGTTGCATTTATTTTTATAATCATTTTATTTAATATTTTTTATTTTGCTAATGTGTTGTCTAAAAAATGCCTTTAAAAAATAAATAAAACCAGTAGTTCAAAAATAATTTTTGTTCATGGCAAATTTTTATTTTTATAATCATTTCATTTAATACTTAATTGTAAATAATTTTATTTAGTTAGCTGTAAAGTGTTGTCTAAAAAAATGCATCAAATAATTTTTGTTTATGGCACAATTTTTATTTTTATAATCATTTAATAATTGTGAATATTTTTTATTCAGTTAGTTCAGGTATTGGTCAAAAATAATTTGTAAACATTTAAAATCAATTATTCTTAAAGTCATTAACTATTGAAATAAAATATAAAAAACTCCTTTTATAGTGATTTAAAAATATGTATATTGGATCATACTTAAAAATTAACAAAAATAGATTAAAATCTATTTTAAACCTCAATAAATGTGATTCTGAAAAGAAAGAAAATATGCATATCAGTAAGTTTTTTTCAAATTGTGCAAAAAATTAAAAAAAAAAATCACAATTCTGGTTATCGCAACCGTTATACTATGGCCTTTACACCCAGCAACTGCAACCGCGCCACCGCAACCGCTTTTCAAAACCTTGGGTACAGCCGAGATCTTAAGAGAAGGTTCATAGCGGGAGGGACTCAATCAAAACATCTCTAGCAAACTATGAAGCAAACTGCTTGTATTGCGTCTATCATGTATTTTGAAGCCAAAACTTACATGGCGCTAACCCATCGTTTGATAGGGCCCACAAAATATTAGTGTTGATGCTTACTATATAAAATGTGGAGTTCATCAAATGATGCGAGAGTCATGCAAGGCACCACATCATATGGTACTTAAATGTAATCACCCTAATGTTATTGTTGATAATTAATATTCAATATATACATGTATTGATTGAGCTTCCAACTTATTAAGATTTCAAGTTTTGATTTACAAATTTTTAGTTTTAAAATTGTTCCTATGATGACTAATTTGCATAAACCAAATGTTTTAGGCAAGTGCACATATATGTATTTAGATAATAGGAGCTGTGTAATGCATAGATTCTAATGGAAAATGTGAGGAGAGGGGAAAAAGGAGAAGAAGAAGAAGAAGAAAGCACAATTCCCCTTCAAATTCTAACAAGATAATGAGAGAAAAGAAAACACAACTCTTAATCTTAACATAATAGTAAAACGATAAAATATAACTTCTTTATAAAAATATGTTTATCGACATACTTCTAGAACAAAGTATATGATATATCATGTATAGTACGATACTAACAACTAGCTGCACATGCTTTACTTATTGACTACTAAATTTCTGAAATGACATTCAACAGATGCCTTCTACAATAACAAGCATCCTCATTACTTGGAACAACAACTATGAAACCAAAACATTTTATGATATGACCGCTCCATTAAACTTTGCATGAAATTTTGCACGGGCTTGGCAAGTTAAGAATACTGTTATCAAGCAATAGCCAAATCTTTTAACCAATGGTAAAACTACAAATATGTTGTTCTCAATCCAAGTAAGTTGTCAAATAATTGCATAATGGGTCTCACACTATCACAAGAGTATCATCTGATGTGGCAAGTCTCTCTATAATTCAAAAAAATCCTAACCCAAAAACTGCAAGTTGATTCATGCAATACAAGTAACATAATGAAGACCAGTCAGTGTATAAGGCATATATGCTTTCACTATCTCTTTCTGGACTCAAATGAAGATTTTTCCATTCTTAAACACATCATGAAAGCACAATATGTGAACAAATTTTGGCTAATTCTCTCTAAAATATAATATGCTGATTAAGGTAACCCTCGCAAGAATGTACTGCATGCATGTACATGTACAAGATGGGAGATTGAACAAATGTGGGAACAGAGTGCAAACCTTTATCAGTAGAAAATGACTGTTTTGTGGCAAATGAACGTGTAGCCAATGCCATACCATAATGGTTCGGGTTATGCAATGTTTGTCCGGCCAAGGCCTACATACCAATTCACACAATACAATTTTAGCATCCGTTGCCCATTTGTAATGATGGTGATAATAATAATTAAGATGAATGTAACAGTATTAGAAGCAACAACCATCATGTTAAGGATTCCACTCAATATTGTCTTTAGCCAAAAAGTCACTATAAGGTGTGATATCACTCTCTACTTTTTTTACACATATTTTCATAAAATGCCAAGACGTCAACTAAAATAGCCAATTCCCGCTTGGGGGAATTACCCCAAACTTCTATGCATGTGTAATTTTTTCCTCTTCCCCTTCATTTCATAATTAGGGTTCATATTATCTAGACCATAGGTGGATTCTGCGAGATTTCAGTATCTTCGGTCCATTTCTAGAATCCCTCAAAAAATTAGTTAATGAACAATAATTCGTGTTTGTGGGAAATTAGCAGTCCAAATACCAAATCAAGTCAGAAATTAAACTTATGATTGAAATGACATAGCCAATTGTGAAACCTTAATCTTGATTAAAACATTCGAGCCCTAGAGAATCTAACTAGACTCTATATTAACCGATTTAACAATACTTCCCCAAATCAAGATGAATCAAACTCCATTTCAGTGTATCATATGAAAATTACCCAGAACATTATATAGACATATACGCGCGTGCAAACGAGAGAGAGAGAGAGAGAGGCTTACAAGGTGACGAGAGCGAAGAGCGAAGAGAGATTTGCGAGCTAAGATGGCCGCCATTGCTGATTGATGATGGGCCAATATGAATATGGGGAGGGAGTGAGGGAGGGAGTGAGGGAGGGGTGGAGGAGTCTTCGAGTTGCGAGAGATTGGGAACAGCTGAAACCGGCTGAGGAACCACTTATCACTTGGGTGTTTTCACGACCACCATCGCCTTGTTTGGTAAAACCTAAAATTTGGTATTTTAGGTCAAAATTAAAAATTTATAAAAAAAAAATAATAATAATAAAATAATGAATAAGACAAAATATCATATTAAATTCATAATTATTTTATTTTTTTTCTTACAAACATTTTATTTAACTATAAAAAAAAAATCAAACCATCTTTTCAAACATAAAAATTTTAATCTATTAAAATAGTTAAAAATTAAAATAACCTACTAAAATAACTAACTTCCTAAACAATACTATGTGTTCGGCTTTGAAATTATGATCAATTACACTATTTTTAAAGGGGGAATAACAGCTTGTGTATCAATAAAAAAAAAAAGAAAAAAAAATTACAAGTCCATGATTAAGTTTATGAATTTTAATAATTAAAATATTAATTTTTTTTATAATTTAGTAAATTTTTTCTCTGCTGCCAATTTAATCGTTTTTTTTGGATTTTTATATCTTGAATAAATTAAACCTCTCTACAACAATTTAAATATCAACAATATTAGAGACACTAAATTTTTTATTAAAAAAATTTAATAAACACTCACGTTGACATGGTCTCACATTTATGTGAGTGATTTTATAATTTTTTTTTTTTTATATCTCTAGTATTTTTTTAACGATTGTCTCCATATCACTAGGCGACAATTATATTTAAAAATTATCAAAAATATATAAATTGGTGTTATTTTAATTGTATTATACTATCAATAACAAGGTAAAACTATATAATTGAGAGAAGAGGGGCGGTTTGGGTGTGGTGAAGTGCCTGTTAGACCATCTCCAACAGTTCACCAAACTTGACACCAAATTTAAATTTTGATGAAAAAGTTACTGTTTGGTGCTCCAACGGTTGCACCAAATCGATATCAAATCGAGAATTCACCAAATTTTTCATCAGAGTGAGAACAGGGAGAAGATTTCACCAAAACACTGTACGCGACCGTTGGGGGGACCAACCAGTTAACCAGCCGGTTGCCTGGCCGGTTGACCAACCGGTCGACCGGTTTATCAAATCTGCACATGGTTGGTTTAAACTGTGAAGTGGTTGGTTTGAACTCCTATGCCCTGAACGGATGTACTGCGTGACCCTTGGGGATGAACCGGTCAACCGGCCGGTTGACCAATAGGTCGACCGGGTTGATCAATCCTGCAACAGTTTTGAACTAGTTTCAACAGGTTTCAACTGGTTGGTTTTAACAGGTTTGAACTGGTTTATTTTGAGATAGCTTATTTTGTGAATTATGAATAATTTGGAGGGTGATATAAAATTAAATTCCCTTCAAAATATTATTGAAATTATTACCTCTCATTTACATATTTTAGAACTAGCCGTTTACAATAATAATTTACCATTGGATGGACTGAGTATGGACAGAGCATTTTGAAAATTTACCGTTGATGATGTGCTCTATAAAATATATCTGTTTTGTATATCAAGTTGACAGAATATATTTTTTTTTAGAATACCATTACATTATATGTTGTGAATTTTGTTTGTTTTGTGTCATTAGAAATTTTTTTCCCTTGAAATTTTTATTTCTATTATCTTATTCAATTATCTGATTCTCAGTTTGAGTGTATATCATTCTAATATTTTTCAGTAAGTGTAGTGTATTTTTTTCAAACTATGGAAGATTTTGAAATGTTTGAGGAATCACAAATGTTGGAGCAGAACACTGATATTAATTTTATGTCACAATCTTCACGAGAGCAGAACACGTAGAATAGTGATAATCATTTTATTTCAGAAACTTCTCGTGTTTCTCGTGGTAAAGCATTCACAATTATAGAAGATGAAACTTTATGTAGATCTTGGTTAGCAGTCTCTCAAGATCCCATTACTGGTAATAGTCAGAATATGACTATATTTTAGGAACGAGTACTTGTTTATTTTAATTCACAATTGAACGGTGAATCAAATCGAAACCGTATTTCTTTGTCTCACCGTTGGTCTGGCATGGAAAAGGCAATTAATAAATTCTGTGGTTTTCTTGAACAAATTCAACTGAGGCAACAAAGTGGAACAACTGAGGCAGATATGGTAAAATTTATTTGTATTATTAAATATCAATTTTCTTTTGTAAATGTATACTTGTTATTGAAATGTTTGTAATTTTTGTTTCTAGGTCGCTGAAGCGAAGCAGATGTATTATGCAATACAGAAAAAACACTTCATATTTGATACATGTTGGGATATTTTGCGCTGAAGTTGTAAATGGGATGAATGTTGATCACAACCCAAAAGAAGCACGCAACATGCTGATCCATGTTCGATTCCACCAACTGAATATGAGGCATTTCAATCCAACCAAAATAATGCGGTGTACGAACAACCATCTAATACATCAACACAACCAATTGGTACTAAGGCAGTGAAAGAGAAGTTGAAGAATCAAACAACACACGATGGTAGATTTCATGAAATGGCTGCCAATCAATCCAAAATTGTTGAAGTGTTATCAAGTATCTCTACTAGAACTATTGAGCGAGATGAACAAAAGGCGATACACCGTGAGCAGAAGGCTGTAGAGCGTCGAAGAAGGGCCGAAAATAGAGAGGAACAACTAAAACTCCTATCTATTATGAATGAAAGAGAACAACGAAATGAAGATCATAAAATAATGTCAATGGACATGACAATTTTAAATCCTATGCAAAGGGCATACTACGAAGATCTTCAATGACAGATTTTATTTCGAACAACTAATAGATTGCTTTGAAAGGTTCTGTATTAGTGGGTTTCATCTATTGGTTTTATTATTTAAAAATATTGCATCTACCTTGTATTGGTTAGTTTTATTGGTTTTATGAATTCTTGCCATGGATTTTTGCCATATTTCAAGTTCAATGCGTAATTGTTGCCATGTTTTTTGCATAGGGAGATCTTTTGTCTGTAGTTCATGTGGTTTTTTTTTTAATTTACCTCGTCTTCTTTAAAATGATCTTTCAAGTGAAGGCCATTGACTACCAAAAAATCATAACAGAATAATGACATTTTTGTAACAGTTTCAGAATGTACATAATCATGTCTTTGTCAAGTAGGCATTAAAATGAAAAGTACAATATGAAGTCATAATAAGGGCATAGGTTTTAATTAAACTCGTACTCTTTAACAAATTCACCCAACAAAAGGTTGTTAAATAGCAAAATACAAAACAATACGAACACATAATGTGAAACACATCAACAGTCATTATCTGGTGGTGGTGGTAGAGGAGGGAAGTAGTGATGGTATATGTCATCTACGCGATGCTCAATCGTATTTACGCGATGCTCAATGTTCACACGGAACTCACCAAATTGTTGAATTAATGAGTTCTGCGCAGTGGCAAATGTATCAAACTGAGTACCTAACAACCTGATTAGTCATTTGATGTTCCCATTGAACGCGTTGATTATAACGTTGTTCTTCCATGGCCAAAAAATCAGTCCAATATTGAGGTTGTTCAGTTGATGGCATCACATTGGCAGGAGGATCTTCTGGACCATCATCTGGTGGGACTTCATCTTCTGAATCTTCTGGAGCATTAACACTTCCCATTAAATTGGAGGCTGCACCAGCACGGGTCACAGTATACTGATTAATGGGTGAACGGATTTTCATCTCCATTTCATCTACAAGGCGAACCCGAAAATATTTGAAAATTATTGTCAACAGTGCCCCAAACAGTAATGACCAGCCCGTGAATTGACCTTGATTTGAGAATATCATTTCTTTCATAATTATGTAACATAAATCTAACTTATGGCCAACTTCAAAACAGTATAACAAATAGGTATTAAAATATGGGACCGCATCATGATGTCCTTTTTTTGGAATGACATTTTCTACAATCCACCGGTGGAGAATCCGAAAATAAGGTTTTAAATGTCTTGCTTGTAAATTAGTCCCAATAAATCTGTTCTTACAAATAGTAGTATATACATCAGTAGCATTACCAGCAATATTAGCTAACTCAGCCTCAGTCTGAAAATGGATATTTTCATCACCTACCTCAACTCCAATAATACTTGCCAAAGCAGGAATATCAAACTGTATACCCTTTCCTTTCACATATGACAAAATAGTAAAATTTTCATCTGTTTCCTGAGTAGCTCTTAGGTGAACATAAAATAGAGCTACCAGCCGTGGATATACCTTTTGGGGTAAATTAATTAAATTTAGCCATCCCATTGCTTCAGGTTTACTAACTAATAGTGCATCATATTGAGGTGCCAGATTTACCCTCCTCCCTGTGACAACAGGTCGGCTGGAGAAGTTTGGAAAGGCTAGTTCATGACTTTCACTGAGAAAATCATCAGTAGGATATGGCTGATTTTGAGGCTGCTGTTCTTCGCGTCGTGGAGGGTTGGAACTTTCACCAACTTGTGGTCTCCCTCTTTTAGTTCTAGGCATGCTGTCAATATCTATTAAATTTGAATGAATATGTATTACATAAGAGAGCTAAATTACAGTTGGCTTGGTATTGTTCTGGTGTTTTAATATTACAAATGAATGTACTTATAATTCAAATTACATGTTCAATATACAGAAGTGTACTTAGTGCATATTACAGTGTTTTTAGTGCTTCATGTTACAGAAGTGTACTTAGTGCATGTTACATGTTCAATATACACAAGTGTACTTACATGTTCAATATTACAAATGAATGCACTTTCATATGACATGTTCAATATTACAGTGTTTTTAGTGCTTAGAATGGCACATTCATTTTTATATTATAGTGCTTTCATATGACAAGTAATTGCATATTACAGTGTTCTTAGTTGAGTGCATATTTATATATACTTAAGTGCATACTAATTACAATATCATTTTTAGATTACATGTTCAATATACAGAACTGCTTACTGAAACTATTTGAATGAATATGCCAGAAGTTAATTTCCAAAATATTGAACATGTTAATTTTTGAAATATTGAACATGAATATAGTTTGAAGAAAGAAAACATATAGTTCAACACAAAAACAGCATGCAGACAGAAAGGAAAAAAAAAA